TTTTTTTTCTTCTTTTTTTTAATATTCAACTAGTATTTATCCGGCATCTATTAACAATATATGTCAGGGAACAAAAGTTTGAGTTAGCATAAAAGAGTGAAAAATCTCACACTGGTGTTTTGCCCCAAGGTATATATGTTCTAATGTAGGATAAAATGTAGCAAGCAGACAGTTTCAGTACTGTGTATTTAGGGCCATAAGATATACTGGATGTTATGAAAGTTAGTAAGAAGGATACAAAACTCAGATACAGGGGCAGGTATAAGCAGGTCGATAATGTTTCCAAGAGGAAGTGCCTTGTCAGATAAGAAGTGTACGTTTAGAAAGCGTTAAGCACTTGTACAGGTGTCTGTGGGCAGTGGAATACGTTTAAGGCAAAAGGAATGACAAGACGCAGAGCCAAAGGCAGCATAATGTTTTCAAGGCACTGAACAACCTTCTATGTTTCTGGAACGTGTAGGGATAGAGGAGGATGAAGCTGAAAATTAAATAACACTCAGATCTCACAGATAATATATTTTCACATATTAATGCTTGTTATTATTATGAATATTATAAAACAAAGCCATAAAAGTGCTGATAATGAGAATGTTTTTATTATAAGTGAGAGGGTTTCAAGCAGTGGTGTCCTGGTAAATGATCTCTAAGAGAGGAAACAAAACAAACAACTCAGATTTTTAGCACTTGCCTATTTCCTTTGTGTAAATACTCCCACTGTGGTGACATATAACCTGCTGTCTTATCTAGTGCTGCTATAACGGAAATATCACAGATGGATGGCTTTAACAAAGACAAATTTATTTTCTCACAGTCTAGTGGGCTACAAGTCCAAATTTAGGGCATCAACTCCAGGGGAAGACTTTCTCTGTCGGCTCTGGAGGAAGGTCCTTGTCGTCAATCTTCCCCTGGACTAGCAGCTTCTCTGCACAAGAACCCCGGGTCCGAAGGACGCACTCTGCTCCTGGAGCTGCTTTCTTGGTGGTATGAGGTTCCCAGCTCTGCTTGCTTCCCTTTCCTTTTATCTTTTGTAAGATAAAAGGTGGTGCAGGTCACACCCCAGGGAAATTCCCTTTACATTGGATCAGGGATGTGACTTTAGTAAGGGTGTTACAATCCCACCCTAATCCTCTTTAACATAAAATTACAAATCACAAAATGGAGGACAACCACACAATAGTGGGAATCATGGCCTAGCCAGATTGATACACACATTTTTGGGGGGACATAATTCAATCCATGACGTCTACCATCAAAATGATTTCACTGAATGCAGTGTGGGGAAGTAATGTACATAATAGGCTCTGTGAGACAAAATGAGCTGGCCAAGCACATAACTGAAATTTATTCTGAAGTGATGGACTCTCAGATGTAGGTCTAACCATGGCAGAAGTGTCCATAGTGAGGCTAGTGCAGGTAAATGAGAGACCAGCCCTTTACTGTGAGCATGGTGAACCAGCCAGTGATGCGGTCTTCCCGGTAAATACCTGTAGGCAGAAGCCCAAAAGAGATTTTCCATCCCTCTTTCTGTCACTGCTTTTGCTCCAGCCTGCTTCAAACTTGCAGCCATCTTTCTTGGCAGTATCACAGGCTCATTCCTTTTGGAGGAGCTCAGATAGTTTCTTTTACCCTAAGGGTCAAGGAAGGAGTCCCTCAGTAGCACAAATGGTAAAGCACTCAATCACTAGCCAAAAAGTTGGTGGTTCAAGCCCACCCAGCAAAAGAAAAGGTCTGGTCATCTGCTTCTGAAAGTCCACAGCCTTGAAAACCCTGTGAAGCACAGTTCAACTCTGCATCCATGGAGTCGCCATGAGTCAGACGACTCAACAGCAACTAACAACAACCACTACTGCTAAGGTGC